CAAACGCATTCTCAATTTTTGTTGGTCACCTTTGTACTTAGAGGGAACGGGTTAATGTTCACTTAAATCTAATATGGAAGTCCCTCTTTACGTTCTCCTTCTAAATTTCAACTTTAATTCAATTATTTTCCTGTACTTAATTACAGCCAATTTTCACATAAGAGCCTTACAAGGAACCGGCATGTGAGAAGGACAAGGAAGATGAAGAACTGGACCGGTTCAACTGGGTCATGGTTCAAGTGGTGGGGGATGCGACTTGTGTGGCTTTCGCGCCACCTTGAGAACGCCTTGAGACCTCTTGGGCAAGACCTGAAGCCGTTGCGGTGTTCTTCACAGTCCATATCGGCCGGTCCGATGTCTGCTCAGGCCACTGGGTCTGGTGTCACTATGATTTCAATCTGGTGTCACCTCGCGCTGCGTGGTTTTCAACAAAACTCTCCAGTTGTGATCTCGATTCACCGCAAAATATCTACTTGATCTGTTGCGCCTACCATATCAATACATAATTAACTGCCGGATAGTTGGCCGGTCGCTCACACACACACGCACACACATGGCAGTGATTTTTTGAGGGGTCTGTAACAGAGCCGCATTCGTTACAGACCTCTACCTCTGTAACAAGACCAGCTGGCTCGTTACACACCCCTCGTTACACACCCCTTGTTAAACACCCTCGTTACACACCTCGTTACACACTCAGATGAACAAACCGGGCCAGTGACGTGATTGCGTTGAATAGCTGCAATCAAGCTGGAGCTGCGGAGGCGCTTTGCAAACTGTGCTTTGCTTTGCCTCGTTACAGACCTCGTTACATAGCCGTCACATACCTCCTTCTAGACCCAACCCCAGCCAGGGCCAACGACCCTGCTTTTTGCCGTTTGGCTTGCGTTGAATAGAGCTGCGGAGGCGTGCTTTGCGTGCTTGCGCTTTGCTTTGCTAAAGGCCTCGTTACATAGCTGTTACATACCTCGTTACAGACGCAACCGCAGCGCGGGCCAGCTTCGCTTTGCCTCGTTACAGACCTCGTTACATAGCTGTTACATACCTCGTTGCAGACCCAGCCCCCCCTTTTTGCCGCAGCTTGGCTTGCGTTGAATATCTGCAAGCAAGCTGGCGCTGCGGAGACACGCTTTGCGTACTGCGCCTCGTTACAGACCTAGCTACATAGCCGTTACATACCTCGTTACAGACCCAACCCCAGCCCGGGCCAGCGACCCTGCTTTTCGCCGCAGCTTGGCTTGCGTTGAGTGGCTGCAATCAAGCTGGAGCTGCGGAGGCGCGCTTTGTGTGCTGCGCTTTGCTTTGCCTCGTTAAAGACCTCGTTACATAGCCATTACCCTCGTCGTGCTGCGCTACATTGTGCTACTAATACTGCTTGTCAGGAAATGTTTGTCCCGGTACAGACCTGCGTAACAAGGACCTCCGTCACGGACCTCCGTAACAAGATTCGTGGCGCGTCGCGCGTTACAGACCCCTAAAAAAATCATGGCCACATACGTATAGAGAGACAGAGAGAGTTCTCTCCACTTGTCGCAAACTATGTGGGTGAACCGCGTTGCTGCGCGATGCGAATTTGACACGGCCTGCATGGCGAACTCGCGCCCCGGTTTCCAAGGTGCGCGAGGATGCGGAGACACGGGAGCCGGGCCCGGCACCGGGAGAGATGCCGGAGGTGCCCCGGATGGTGACGTCGCCCACGCGATCTCGCAGCCCTGCTGCCTGTACCGGGTTTCATGCGTTCTTTGCATGTTTCCTATACCTAGTTTTATCTTTGGCCAGACGGTAACAACGCGAGAACTATTCTCAGTTGGGAACAAAGCAAAAGGTTGTTCCTAGTAAATGCAGCCGTAACGGTTGGGTAGCGTTGCCTGCCTTTGTGGCAGCATGGGTTCGTTCGAGGTCCTGCGCATGCGTTGAGCCACGCGGGTATGTGGCCCGAGGCAGCTCACGATCCTCGCGGTCCTCGCGAACTTCTGGCTCGTCCACAAGTTCTGCTTGGCAGCTTGGCCGTCAGCGCGGCAATGTTTGGTGGTCGTGGCTTGCACCGAATGCGGAAGAAGAACATGGATGTGCCAAGTATGTTATAATATGTTGTCTCCAGTTTGCGCCAAACCGGGGGCTTCATGTGAGATCGTTCTCGGGCATGTGCCTTGCGAAAAGGCTGAAGCTGCCGAACTGTTTTTTCTTCAATGTGAATATTCCCATGAGGAATGAGGGGTTACATGTACTACAGAATATTCCACCAGCCGTGGGTCGCTGGAGACGCTTGCAGCTGCAGGCAGCCCTTTCCGGACCTCTCGGAGATCACCCTCATGGTGGATGTCAGGACGCCGCAGCACAACGTGGAGCAGATGCACCTAAGCTTCGCATCTCCCACCTTCAGCCTCCGGACGCTGCTGGGCCGGCCACGCAAAGAATCCACACACACATACATATATATATATATATACACATATCAGGCCCCCAATCCACGCAAGCATCCGTTTTCCGCTTGCTTGCACGAATTCTTGCTTCGTTGCCTCTGACAGTTGGGAACGAAAGCATGTCCTGGTGGTTTGTTCTTCTTTTCGTGACATGTTCCGCCCGCTATTTCAAGCAACTGTGAGCACAGAGGTTGGTTTTTTTCTCATAGCAGGTGAACTGTTTCATTTTGTTTTCAGAACGGTAGTTTGGTCTACTCAGTGGCGATTTTGAGAACTTTGACTGCTTTGCGATCATAATCCCAAATCTCAAGGAACCGCGTGCGCCCTGTTGTCACTTGACATCCCTTGACCTTGAATTGGGTGCGAGGGGATTGAGAATGGGGTTGAGGCCCAAAGGAAAGCCTGATGGTCAGAGGGTGTTGTGCGAGTTTTGTTGATTCCGGCAAACACGCTCTGTTCCGTTCGTGGCAATCTGAACGTGTCCGTCTTGACGAAGCTTGGGCGCTGGGCTTCACTACAAGTGTATCAGGCTGGTCACACAACCCCTCACAACGGTCGCGGTGCGTCAAGCTTTGTTGGGCGAATCTGAGGCTTGTCCGGCCAACGGATTGGGAGAGCGTGCGGCTTGCGCTTGAGGGCTTTGCGGATGAGGTGGGCGCAATTTTGAAAACACCAAATCTGGATTTGGGGCGCTTGTGCTTTCACCTTTGGCTGCCTGTGGTTCCTTGTGGTTCCCTATAGGCTTCCTTTCAATTGCGAGGTAGGCAACCAATCATTGCATCGGGAAACAAGACGCCCCTCATAGCGATGCAGGCAGAGGGTGGCTTCATGGATCCCGGGGTGATGCGAAACCTGACCCTCCGTGGCTTGGACGGATCTCCCGAAGTGACTGTGTGAACTCTACGTTGCATGGTGCAGCCGCTGTCCTCGGTGTCATTTGTCCTCGCTCCTGATGGTAGAACGTGATTACTGTGATTCAAGACGCCCGGTTTTTCACTGCCCGCCAATGCTACTTTACAGGCGCCCACAAGGTTTGGCCAAAAAAAAACTCTCATTTTTTAACCCCCGCCCCTTTCCAGCCCCATATTCAAAGATAATATTGCCATTCCAGAAATCAAAAGAAACATGGCTAGCCGAAAGCATCAAATTTAGAAATTCTTTGTTTAGAAAAACAGAGATTTGACAAGCTCGCAAAGGGTACCCCCCTTCAAGGCTAGGCCCCCGAATAGCACCAAACCCCCTCTGATTGATCAAGTCCCTCTCCGAGGATTCGCAAGGGTGAACACAGGAAATGACTGGAGAGGACTGGTCCATTTCCCGGAGACCGAGGAAAATCCCTATCCGGCTTTCCCAAACCGTGCCGACGGCGGGGCGGTTGACCAATCAAGTCCCACCCAGGAGTCTCCACTCCAAAGCGCCCAACAAAAACTGCTGGGTCTTTCAGCGGAAACACTCCATGGCCAGCTTGCAGGCCATTCTGGGGCCTGGCTCCCCATCCCAAAAGAGCCACAATCAAAACCTGGGTAGAAGGTGAGTAAGGGACGATCCCAACCAATCGCTGCGGAATTCCGCCTTCATCCTGTACATGGTTCTGGGCAGGCCATTTTACCGGGTTTTGATTGCGACTCTAGACGAGCGGTTCGAACGGTCGCCCTTCGATTTCGGCGGCCGGATCGGTTTGAGGGAGCCCCGACGGCAAGAAGTTCTGCTCCAAAGACGTGGCCGTCGAAGCTTTCCGACCCCCCCACGGTGACCTGAGGCTCCGCTCCCACGTTCGCTCGGGGCTTTTCGGGTTCGATGGTTCGACTGGATATGTTTGGACCGGATCCCGTCCAAGTCGAATTCGAAGACTTTCCAAATGTTGGCACAGGAGTGCAACAAACTTCTTTGGCACTTGGCCCAGAGGCAAGATCTGGGGACTGGTGCGGAGGATGCGCGGGGCACAAAAACTCAGGGCAGCTTCAACATGTCATGTGTTTTGTTTGTGCTTTGTCGGGTGCCGCAAGCGCACGAAAAGCGCTGCTCCAGAACCAAGTACAACAACTCACAACTCCTGCGCAATAGTACCACGGGAGCCGCAAAACAGTTACGGCCGACTAGATCGCAAAGCACAGCAGCCGCACGATACTAGACCACGCCGCAAACTTAGCTAAAGATTGCCATAATCCCTGGGCCGAGCCACGATGTGGAGCAGATGTAGGGTCCGGAAAAGCTCCAGAGGGCTTCTGGCAGTCTGTAGCGGGGATGGACCCGATGGGCTGTCTTTGAGCTCGCCAAATCTCACAACAGAGATGGCATGTCGGCGCGATGGGTCGTATGCACAGAATGTAGGATTGGTGGGAGCAGTGTCCAGGCTCGATAGTTTTCATATTTTTTCCCAGCGAGTTTCCTGTTGGAGCATGCTACGATTGTTCAGCCAAAGCCCTTGTTGCGAGAGCAATTCTCGAGTTTGCGCTGCAAGGATTCGGGTAGTTCCAGTCATTGCGCACGTACCTGCGAGGCTCCGGCTGCACCTCATGAACTTCCTGTCAGAGCCGGCCCGAAGGGCCGTCCTGCAGGGCATCGACGAAAAGTAAGCCGAACGAACATGCTTCGCGAGGCAGATTGTCATCTCATTTTCAAGAGTCGCGGTCATGTGCTGGGGCAAGTACGTGCCCAGGTTGATCCAACCCTTTTTCAGCAAGGTGCCAAAAGGCACAGCGCGCAGGTGCGGGTGGTTAAAACAAACACGTGCGAGACCTATGCAGGTCTTGAAGGAGCGTGCGATGGCGCATGAGATGAGACTACGGAGGCAGGTTTTGCAGGTGGCAGGTGCCAAGCCGAGTTTTCGAAAGTTCGAGCGGAAAGCGTGAGTGGGACAGTAGGACTTGAATGTCAGGGCTGAGGAGCAGCGTGCGCGGCATGTGGGCGTGAGATGTGGTCAGTACAGCTTTGCGTGTAACGCAGAATGAGACAGGAGACGTTGGCGTGGCCTTGCACAGATTGGAGTTTCACATAGTTCGAGCGAGTTGCCAGGGGCTTGCACTGAGATGCCGTGTCCACGTGGCGAAGTCAGTGCTCGAGACGTTAGACATGGTGCACCGGCTTCAGTTCTTGAGAAAGCGCATGCCGCATGGGACTGGCCGATGGTCCAAGCACGGCGTCGGCTTCAATGGTTCAATGGCTTGTCCTTCAGCGGGGCCCTATATATTTATATTGCGGCAGTGCCCCGACCCAAAAAGCGGCGGCTTGTTCTGAGAGCCCCATGGCGGCGCAGCTGGACATCCGCATCGTGGAGGCGGGGAATGGCGGGGATCGGTGTTCGGCAATTCGGCCGAATATATATATATATATATATATATTTATATTTATATTCGGCCCGCGCGAACGGCGCGGAAAACGACAAGCGCTTGGTCTTGACTGCTATTGGGTTGGATCTAACTTTTTTGGAAATCAAGGGGCGTTCCACTAAACCCCCCGAAAAGTTAAACCTTTTGCAGCGGGTCAACAGCAACCAAGTTGGTGTAAAGGCAGGTTCCTAGCAGGGTGTGCAGTGCTCAAAGGCTGGCCTTCCCGCTCCATGAATCCAGCGAGAGGTAGGAAGCCACTTCACTTCAATCCAAGGCGACCGCAAGACCAGCCGATGCTCGCGTTATGGGTGTGGCTCAAAATTCAAGAGCTAGGGTTACGCAGGTTTTACTCTTTGGTTCCATTTACCAGGTGCCATTTGGGTACATGTATTTGTGGCACATTAGCCTTCCTTGCTGCAGCTACAGTGTTTCCATATTCTGCCTGTGGTCTTCCCACAGACTGAAGCTCCTGCAAAGTGATAAGGGTGGAACAACCGAAGAGCACCTCGCACACACATTGATCGGGGGACCACCTCCCAACCCAGCGTCTCTCAGTGGCCGACCTTGAGATTGAATGTCTGTTGGAGGCGTGGATGTTTTGAGTGCCTAGGCCACACTAAACCAGTGTGTTCCAACGGCTTTCATCACGCCATCCCCGTCAAAGCGGTGGTAATGAGTGTAGCCAGAGGCGCGGCTGGTGCGCATCTTCGACAGCCTCAAGCCCAACCAAGACGTTTTCGTTCAGCTGGTGGCAGCCTCACGCTGCTTTTGCCGGTGGTGGCAGTGGTGATTGCGATCATTCTTTTTTCTGGCATTGGAAAGAAAGGAAAAGCATGTGGGTCCGCGTGGTCGTGTAACTCGCGCTGGATTTGTCAATGTTGACTCGTTGCGTTTTCACATGCGTGCAGCTTTGGTTCTGATGGGCCCTTGCAAGGTTTGCGGCTATGAAGATGGCAGCGAGAAGGCGCCCGTAGCGCGGGAGCGTGCGTTATGGGCTGTCGAAGGAGAGGCCCAAACGAAATGATTCTGAAAGCGCCAGTGAGTCAAGGGGCCAAGAAATTGTTTCGTCACATGCTGTTGGAACCAGCTAAGCAGCTGCGCACCAAGGGGAGGTTTTCGGAGCTGAATGCATTGCGGGGTCCTCGAAGCTGCCACACTCAAGAGTTTGGTCCTTGCTTGGGTCTGGCAACACCATTCGCTGGGCTGCATGCAGATTGCACTTAGCCCGTATGTATGGATTCAATATCCTTCACGGCCTTGGCGCCGAAGTCGACGCGTAACGCGCCCTCGGCAGGTGGTCGGGCGCACTGAGACTCACAAGAATGGGAACCTGGCGCCACGGTGGAACCAAAGGCTTGCGCGGCAAACGATGATGCTCGCGGCTGGCGTGGACTTTTGCCACAGAGGGCGAAAAAAAGGCATCCAGTCGAAGGAGCCCCTGATCTCCTGAGGGGTTGCTATTTACTTCAATGTAATTTCCTGCTGTCGGCATAGGCGTCATCCCAGTCACTTGACTAGATGATTTTTTTTTCATGCAGGTTCCTTTGCGGCCGCGACTCCTCCAAGGGAGGAAAAACCTTGAAGTTCAAGGCAGGGCTGGCTGCGAGGTCAAGTTGCCAGGGGAAAGGGGGTCTGCTCACCATCTTGGTGAGTACTTATGGCTCCATGAATCCTCAGTGTGCATTCGCGTTTACCCAAGATTTGCCGCATGCCGCGCGGCATGCGGCACATCCCAGATCGCATTTGAGGATTTAAATATCAGGGTGACCTTACGTACGGTGAACCATGGATATTGGAGGCAAAGGGGCGCAAGCTATGGCTGGCTCTCTCAGGTGCACATTGACCATGTGTGGCGCAGCCCCGTGCTTTGTGGGGAGGCCGCCTGGAGATCGACTCGCCGTTTTGTCAAAAGGTGTGAGCTTGGGTCACGGAACTGGGGGGTGGTAACTTGAGTTGGAATCCCAGGAGTGTAAGAGGCGCCCGTCCGAGTACAGACCCAGAAAAATTAAACATGAGGCGTCATCGTCCTAAGTTGAGGCCGGGGTTCCCCTGAAGATCTGAGCTATGTGCTCCATCAGCCTGGCTCGTGGTTTTGGGCTGGCATGCGATATGTGGTGTTTCCGGTCCCGCCTGAAGTGCGACGTGTCAGGATTGAAAGCAGTATGGTAGGGACAAAAGTCCTAGGTGAAGGCTGTGACGTAAGACGCATTTTCTTTCAAGCTGAAGTTTGCATACGCTCAAAGGGCTGATGGGGACGTGTGCTCCAGTCAGGCTGAATTCGGTCTCGACAATCTTTGGCGCCGCGCCAACGGTCGGGCGCAGGAGGACGGGGTTGGGAAATGCAGCAAGAAAGAGAGAGAGAGAGAGAGAGAGAGAGAGAGAGAGAACCAAAAAGCGTAACGCGAAGTTGAAAGAAGCTGTAAATGGGAAGGTTTCCAAGTGTTGATTCCGACCACTGCACTGCAAAGCATGCAGTTGGTCCCACCGTGCTTATCAGGTGCCCGTGCCGCTCTTCAAGAAGGGCGAGCAGACAGGACTTTTGAACATCAGCATTGCCCTCGCCGGGGGCCTAGCCGCCAGTTCCAAAGGCCTCCCGGCAAGGCGTTCGCTTCAGCGCACGTCTGATACGCGTCGTTGTCTGAGGCTGCAGGTGGCTACGGTTCAAGCCCGGCCTCGCTGGCACTGCTTATTCGGTGCCAGAGTTGGTTGAAATGGCAAACGCAAAGGGCGGAGGATGAATCGGAAAGCACGAGTCAAATCTAATTACAAAGCACTGGCGTGAGACTGTTTTGCTCTTGCTTAGGTGGACTGAAGAAACAGGTAATGTTGACCCCATATTAGTCAACCCCAGTTTTTGAATAGGGGGGTGTTCCCCTCCAATAGTGATGATTCCCCACTGATCCCAGGTAGCTCGGGTAATTTGACTTTGCACAGCCAGAGCACTCCCTGAGCCTGGCCTGTACCTTCCAAGCCATCCGCGCTCGCCAGGCCACAGGCTATGGCTCAACACCGGCGGTGCCAGCATGCCTTGGGTCTGGGTCAGTTGGCTCAGCGCTCAGGGACTCCCATTTTTTGTTTGTTTGTTTTTCTTCTTCTTTTTTGGGGGGGGCGGGGGGGTGCCGCAGCAGGCAGATCAGGCAACCGCATTTGCAGATCCCAGAAGTCCACAGCGCAGGGCCCTGAAAGGATACCTCCAAACACCGCCGTGTGACTGCTAGTCGGTCCCCAGTAGTGCCCGTTTACGAACTTTGTTGGGGGTTTTGGGTCTCCCTACTACAATAGGCTACAGAGAAAACTCGGGTACGCTTATTCGAGGACCTAGGAAAGGAAGCCAACTCATGTCCTTCATGGTTCAAAAAAATGCCGAGGGCGATTCCTGGTTTATTGCTGGCCGTTGCTGGCACGTCGAGAGAGACCTAGACTTGCAATGGGAATCCGATTTGGTTCGCCGCCAGGTGAACCAGATGAATCTGGATCCTTGCTCTCCAGGCATGAGCCCAGGCAGCGGGGGTTCAAGTCGAAGCGACCCGGGCTTCGGAACCATCCGGTTGGCTCGAGCTCTCCCTTTCCATTTTGGTGAGCCATCCGGTTTAGTCGATCTATCGCATGTGCCCCGGTTGATGTTTCCTTTTTTTTGCAGGGGTTGTTTCTCATATTTGGTAAGTTGAGGTAGGTCAACAGTCTGTGCGGCTTGTTTCTGTTTCTCATATTCCATGATACGAGGGGTCTTCCAGACTAGATTGTGGCGGACTGTCGACTGTACAGCTTGCAGGCAATCGGTGGGGCATGGAGAGGCGCAGCGCGATCCGATGTCCGATTCGGCCGACGCGCGGCGAACCTCATATGTAGCTTGAACGAGTTCTTGTTTCGCCATCCAATTCTCATTTGGGGCGGGCATCTCTACCAAAATCCTTTGAGCCCGCGGTTCCGCATCTCGCTTGCGGATGCGACAGGCCAGGCCCAAGCGCGGGGCCTGGTCCAGGTCTCTCCGCAGGCGGTTTAAGCCGAGGCCCTTCGGGACTGGCCACGGAGCTAGTCAATTTGAGAGCTTTTATTTGTCCCAAGGGTCCGGCCCGAGTCTGTGGAGTGTGACGCTCGAAGAAGGGACGTTTGCACATGTGAAGATTCTTCACAAGATAGCCTGTGGACCGTAGGCAGGGGTGCTTCCAAGCCTTGCGGGTGGTCCTGCCATGGCGTGACACCTTGTACCCAACTCTCGGCCATTGCGTTGACTCGAGTCACTGTCTC